ATTACTCGGTTTTGCTTTTCTTTTTCAGTTTCTGTTATTGCTATTTAATTGCTATTTTCTTGTTTTTATTTTTTTGACGAGCCTATTTTCTCCGATCCTATTGTATTTTGGTATTTTAATGCTACTTCTGTTTGACGATCCTATTTTTGCTTTCCTCCGTCGCTGCTAGTTTTCATTGTTATTGCACTTTATTTTGACTTATTATTGCTTTTTATATAAATCAGTGCTTCGTTTTCTCTTTGTGTGTGTGTTTGTGTTTGCTCGACTATCCTACCTGTTGCTGTCTTATCACAGTCGTATCACTTTTGGATTCTCGCCGGTGTCTTCGGTGTAGTTGGGCCGACTCTCTGTCTCGATACATCGCTAACCACCGTGCGTTTTATTCGGAAGAAGACATGATTGGGTGTAGGCGAACACGTTGCGTTATGCCTAGATACATCAATCACTGTATTCGGTCCGACTGTCTGTCTAGATACATCGGTCCCCACCGTGCGTTTCCGCCTTCAGACCTCGAAAAGATCGTCGGTGTCATTTGCATATTTACCCCCATGTACGACGTGCGGGCAAACCGACATCAAACTACTCTATAAATGTATGCATCTGTGTGCTAGAGAGAGAGAGAGAGAGAGAGAGAGAGAGAGAGAGAGAGAGATGGCATATGCGATTATTTGGTAGCAAGTTAGGGGGAGAGAGGGGGGGGGGGGGGGGGGAGAGAGAAAGGAGGATGAATGATGATGCGGACAGTCGGTGGTGGCGAGGGAAAAGAGGGTGTAGGAGTTGTAATGCAGAGGAGGTTGCCTTCTCTGTGTGCACTTCAGTAGTCAGTTCATTTCTTCGGATCCTGCTCGGAAATTCCGTTGTTCGCTTCCTAGGTTCCTCTGTTTCCACTTTCTCTTTCTACTTTTTGGTTTCCCTGAAGCGTGGGAAGGCAGTAAAAAGAGACCTAATCGCTCTATTTATGAGCTAATCACTCGACGTATAGTATCATTTTCTGTACGCTCGCATCATTTGGAAAGGAGTACGCAACGACTCTTTTTCATCTCGGCACGGGCTTACACCGTCTTCGCTCTCCTGTCTCTGCGCTCTCTCCTCTCTCCTCTCTCTCCTCTCGCTCCTCTCCCCTCTCTCACTTCACCGTCCCTCCCGTCGTGCTTGCCATCGGTATCGACGGGCCTGCCTAGTGGGGTCTTCGATGTTGGGTGTATGTGTTTATTATTTAGTGTACTCCACTTCACCCTCCCTCCCCTCGTGCTTGCTATCGGTATCGACGGGCCTGCCTAGTGGGGTCTTCGATGTTGAGTGTATGTGTTTATTATTAAGTGTACTCTGATGAATATACAAGGGCCTGGCCGCACTACTCATCAAGTGTGCAAAATCAGAATGAATCTTCCCCCAGAACATGGAAATATGCACCTCCATAGTTTTGTCTTTTGTGCATGTGGTGAGTGGTGCATCGAGGCCCGTAATTGCAAGAGACTGGGGGCTTCGCTACACCGACTCACGGAATGTGAAGAAGACAACGCATGTCCTTCGGGACATCTGTTAAAATGGGAACGATACAGAGAAGGGTAAATTAACAAATGGCCCCTGCCCAAGGATGACACAAATCGAGAAATGGTCCAAAAAAAAAAAAAAAAAAAAAAGACAACGCATAGCGGGTGTAAGATACACCCGAGGCCCTGGGGTTCGATCCCACTACCGTCTTAACCCGAATGCAAAGTACGGTCATTATAGCTGTATTTGGGACAACTTTGAGTCTAAATACATCAATAATCACCGTTCGTTGCACTCGGGCGAAGACGGTAGCAATTAGGATTACCGGTACATCCAGCATACAGTTATCATGACGGTCATGATATCTGTATATGGGGCAATTTACAGTCTACATTCAGTGATAATGACCGGGCGTTCTATTCGGGTGAGGAGTGTTGCAGAAAATAGAGATGGAAGTGTTTTTCTGAATCTCTGCACAGAACACGTCCAGATTCAGGAGCTTCATCCAATCCTTGTGGGTAGTGCGACCTCGTCCCCGGCGGCAAGGAGGTCCCACTAGCGAAGAGGGATTGAGATTAAGCACCTGAATCTCGACGGGTTTTAAGGAGAGATGCGGAAATGTAGATCGATCGCAATTTTCTCCACCTCTCCCCAAACACGTCACCATTCAGTCGTCTACTCCAATCATCTTTGCTACGGACCTCGCCGCTGGTGTAGTAGGGTCTCGCTGGCCCGCATTCTGTTTCGGATTGTAGGTCTTCTTTTTCATTTTGTTATTTATTTATTTTATTTTATTTCATTTTTTTATCACCAATCTGCATAATGGAGGGTCGGAGATGGAGTATCAGGGTAAGTGGGCTTTTCGGGGCCTCATGCTGCTACTCGTCTCTCTCTTATGTATCTGGAGCTGGTGACCCGATACATTTAAAATGCTGGAGCAGTGAGTCTGTATCTGCTTTATGATGCAGTCCAGGTACGTGTAGAGTGTTGTGTTGGGTAGTGGAGCGAGGTTATCTGCTTTATGATGCAGTCCAGGTACGTGTAGAGTGTTTTGTTGGGTAGTGGAGTGAGGCCCTTGGCCCCTGGGCAACGCTAAGGGAGAGTCAGCCCAGCGGTGTCAGGACGGTGAAAAGAAAGTAGGTATGGATTGGAAAAAAAAAAAAAAAGGGGAAAGTGAGAAAGGGGAAAAGGACCAACGGGCCCAGCTGAACTGTTGAAATGCGGACCCTTTTTTTTCTTTTTTTTTTTTAACTCAAGAAGTTCATTATATTGCCACTCAAAAAAGGGGGAGGCCGGGAATCCCTCCACAAACAACCCGGAAAAGGTCAAAAAAGGAACAATTTTTGCTGGGACCATTACCCAGCTTTGGTGCAGGCCTTGGATTATGTCCAGAGACAGAAATGGCCAATCCAAGTTCAAATCCTGCTGAACAGGAATGAATGCAATGAAATAATTAATAATTATGAATTACCTGGGGCCGGTCAGTTCAATGATGGTATCTCAAGGCCGTAGTCCTTTAAAAAAAAAGAAAGAAAAAAAAAATCAGAAAGGGGAAAGGATGTCAATAATTATTGGTAAACAGTGTTTTGCAAGTTTACTGTTATGTGGGAATATTCTTTTTGCGTGCTCCGCTTGTGCTTCCATTATGTATAAGTGGATATTTGTCGTAATACTTGTGCCTCTTCTTTTTCAGCTACCTTCTTCCCCCGAATACAACGTACGGTCATTATGGCTGTATTTAGACAGAAAGATACCTCATATACAGCTATAATGACCGGACGTTGTATAGGGGGGAAGAAGGTAGCGTATCTGGACCTTTCTGTTGGTCCTGATACGTTCAAAATGTTTGGGCTGTAAGAATGTCTGTATTACGAGACAGTCACAGTGCTGTTAGACTGTCGTGTAGTGGAGCGATGCCCAATTCTGTCGATTTCGTTATCCCAATGCTGCCGTTGTCGTTGTTGCATGTTATCCTCGATTGTTCCTTTTCCGACCGAGTTTGTCAAGATGGGGGGGGGGG